TATGAGAGGGGATGCAGGGATTCAAATCGTAGGTAAGAATGGTAAGTGTATTTTAGACGCGGAGGTGAAAGAAGGAGATCTTGTCGTAGTTCCGAAATTTGCCGTGGTTTCTGTGATTGCCGGAGGCGAAGGGATTGAGTGGTTCTCAATTACCATGAGTCCGCGGTGAGTGATTCTAAGATGGAGACCGTGTCGTCTTACGCAAATCTTAATACACAGATCACTACCAATCAGTACAATTTGAAATGATAGACATTACAGATTGTACTGGTATTTAAACTAATGTGTGCATCAAAAGTTGAGCTAGGATTAATTTTAAGTTCGTGTTTATTTTTTTTAATTGAGCTTCTGATTTGGTTGTTTGATTGGGTTTTGTTTTCAGGCCTGTGTTTGGATTTTTAACAGGGAAGGAATCGATTCTTGAGGCTTTGTCTCCACAAGTGTTAGGAGCATCTCTCAATGTGGATCAATGTCTTCTGAAGATTCTGAGCTCAAACGCAGAGAACTGATGTCTTCTGTTTCTGTAATAAACCGCAACTCAGATGTGGATGTTGTGAACTCAAATAATTCATATCATAACTTTAGCCTTTTATATTTTCAGCCAATGAATTGAAAACTTGTGATGAAGTCATAAAAATCTTGACTGTCAGTTGCTTAAACAAATTTTATTAGAAATTAAATTAATCATACAAGTTACGATTGATTTTAGGGTTTTTTATTTCTAGGCCCATTTGTTTACTCATCTTTACCTCTAAGCCCAATAACTATTCTTTGTATTCTTAAACCCAAGTTTCTTTTTGTTTTTGCCTGTAAACCCAATTTCTAAAATACTGTATATACAACACTGGTATTCATACCCAAACATGATAAAAACCCTAAAATACCCTTCAATACCCCCACTTAAACCAGACAGACCCCCTCTCTCTCCTCATTTTCCTTCTTCCTCAGGTCTTCGTCTTCCTCCTTCCTCAAGGCTTTGTCTTCCTCCTCCGATCCCACCTCTCATGCCCCCTCCAAGAAATCGAAGAAGAAAGGAAGAAAGGCCCATGATTTTAGTGCTTGATGTCTTGAAAAGGCCCACGACGGATCTCGAGGCAGCCGGACACACCTCCACCCTCTCCAACGAGACACTACAATTCTTCAACGATCAACAAGATGCTTGATGATTTTGGCTTCGGGATCTCTTTCGATGACGAGGAGGAGTGATTTCGTGTGAAATCTCATTTCTATATACTCGATTAGGGTTAGGGTCGGGGTCGGGGTTGGGGGGTTAGGGTTAGTTCATTGATGTTCTTTTGTGCTATCCCTTTTTGTTGAACTAAATCTAATTGTAGAATTGGTTTTATCAATTTATGAATGTATCGTTTCTGTTGAACTAAATCTAATTTGTACACAATAGATTTGCAAAGCAAGAGGTGTGAAATCTGGAGAATCTGGAATTTTGTACCTGTAAATTTTGCTTATAAAGAGTTGGAGAGTATGGAGCTTGCTTTGAAGATTGTGAAAGAGAAATTGCTGGGTAGAGTTAATGGAGTCAGTTATGCTATATGTACATTTTGAAGATTTGTGCAATTTTGAAGATTTGTAACATTTTGTAAAGTCTGGAGCTTGCCTTGAATATAATATCAGTTATATTATGTACATTTTGAAGATTTGTAACATTTTTGAAAGCCTGGAGCTTGCCTTGAATATATGATCAGTTATGCTATGTTTTTTGTGAAGATTTGTAACATTTTAAAAAGTCTAGAGCTTGCCTTGAATATATGATTAGTTATGCTAAGTATATTTTGAAGATTTGTGTAATTTTGGAGTTTGATTTGTAACATATTGTTTCAGATTGTAAGTTTTTGAAAGTAGATAATGAAAGTGTTGTTAGTGCAATATCGTTATTGTTTGTGCAATTTTGGAGTTTGTAAGACTGGAATTTTGTGCAATTTTGTGAGTGCTATTTTGTGGAATTTTGTGTAATTTTATGAGTGTTATTTTGTTCTTGTGCAATTTTGTGAGTGCAACCAAGTGTGATAAACTGCAGATCTCTTTGATTGTAAGTGTAGCGTGATAAATTCAAAGTGTAGCGTGATAACCTGTAAGTGTAGCGTGGTAGACTGTAAGTGTAGCGTGATAGACTGAAATTGTAGCGTGGTAGACTGTAAGTGTAGCATGGTAGACTGTACAGGATAACACGCTACACTTACAGGATAACCCGCTACACTTACAGGATAACCCGCTACACTTACAGGATAACCCGCTACACTTACAGTCTAACCCGCTACACTTACAGCATAACACGCTACACTTACAGTCTAACACGCTACACTTACAGCATAACACGCTACACTTACAGGATAACACGCTACACTTACAGGATAACCCGCTACACTTACAGCATAACACACTTCACTTACAGGATAACACGCTATACTTACAGCATAACCCGCTACACTTACAGGATAACACGCTACACTTACAGGATAACCCGCTACACTTACAGCATAACACACTTCACTTACAGGATAACACGCTATACTTACAGCATAACCCGCTACACTTACAGGATAACACGCTACACTTACAGGATAACACGCTACACTTACAGGATAACACGCTACACTTACAGGATAACACGCTACACTTACAGGATAACACGCTACACTTACAGGATAACACGCTACACTTACAGGATAACCCGCTACACTTACAGCATAACACGCTACACTTACAGGATAACACGCTACACTTACAGCATAACAAGCTACACTTACAGGATAACACGCTACACTTACAGCATAACACGCTACACTTACAGGATAACACGCTACACTTACAGGATAACCCGCTACACTTACAGCATAACACGCTACACTTACAGGATAACACGCTACACTTACAGGATAACCCGCTACACTTACAGCATAACACGCTACACTTACAGAATAACCCGCTACACTTACAGNNNGTGTTAGACTGTAAGTGTAGCGGGTTATTCTGTAAGTGTAGCGTGTTAGACTGTAAGTGTAGCGGGTTATTCTGTAAGTGTAGCGTGTTAGACTGTAAGTGTAGCGGGTTATTCTGTAAGTGTAGCGTGTTAGACTGTAAGTGTAGCGGGTTATTCTGTAAGTGTAGCGTGTTAGACTGTAAGTGTAGCGTGTTATGCTGTAAGTGTAGCGGGTTATCCTGTAAGTGTAGCGTGTTATCCTGTAAGTGTAGCGTGTTATCCTGTAAGTGTAGCGTGTTATCCTGTAAGTGTAGCGTGTTATCCTGTAAGTGTAGCGTGTTATCCTGTAAGTGTAGCGTGTTATGCTGTAAGTGTAGCGTGTTATCCTGTAAGTGTAGCGAGTTATTCTGTAAGTGTAGCGTGTTAGACTGTAAGTGTAGCGGGTTATGCTGTAAGTGTAGCGTGTTAGACTGTAAGTGTAGCGTGTTATGCTGTAAGTGTAGCGTGTTATCCTGTAAGTGTAGCGTGTTATGCTGTAAGTGTAGCGTGTTATCCTGTAAGTGTAGCGTGTTATGCTGTAAGTGTAGCGTGTTAGACTGTAAGTGTAGCGTGTTATGCTGTAAGTGTAGCGGGTTAGACTGTAAGTGTAGCGGGTTATCCTGTAAGTGTAGCGGGTTATCCTGTAAGTCTAGCGTGTTATCCTGTACAGTCTACCATACTACACTTACAGTCTACCACGCTACACTTACAGTCTACCATGCTACACTTACAGTCTACCACGCTACACTTACAGTCTACCACGCTACAATTTCAGTCTATCACGCTACACTTACAGTCTACCACGCTACACTTACAGGTTATCACGCTACACTTTGAATTTATCACGCTACACTTACAATCAAAGAGATCTGCTGTTTATCACACTTGGTTGCACTCACAAAATTGCACAAGAACAAAATAACACTCATAAAATTACACAAAATTCCACAAAATAGCACTCACAAAATTGCACAAAATTCCAGTCTTACAAACTCCAAAATTGCACAAACAATAACGATATTGCACTAACAACACTTTCATTATCTACTTTCAAAAACTTACAATCTGAAACAATATGTTACAAATCAAACTCCAAAATTACACAAATCTTCAAAATATACTTAGCATAACTAATCATATATTCAAGGCAAGCTCTAGACTTTTTAAAATGTTACAAATCTTCACAAAAAACATAGCATAACTGATCATATATTCAAGGCAAGCTCCAGGCTTTCAAAAATGTTACAAATCTTCAAAATGTACATAATATAACTGATATTATATTCAAGGCAAGCTCCAGACTTTACAAAATGTTACAAATCTTCAAAATTGCACAAATCTTCAAAATGTACATATAGCATAACTGACTCCATTAACTCTACCCAGCAATTTCTCTTTCACAATCTTCAAAGCAAGCTCCATACTCTCCAACTCTTTATAAGCAAAATTTACAGGTACAAAATTCCAGATTCTTCAGATTTCACACCTCTTGCTTTGCAAATCTATTGTGTACAAATTAGATTTAGTTCAACAGAAACGATACATTCATAAATTGATAAAACCAATTCTACAATTAGATTTAGTTCAACAAAAAGGGATAGCACAAAAGAACATCAATGAACTAACCCTAACCCCCCAACCCCGACCCCGACCCTAACCCTAATCGAGTATATAGAAATGAGATTTCACACGAAATCACTCCTCCTCGTCATCGAAAGAGATCCCGAAGCCAAAATCATCAAGCATCTTGTTGATCGTTGAAGAATTGTAGTGTCTCGTTGGAGAGGGTGGAGGTGTGTCCGGCTGCCTCGAGATCCGTCGTGGGCGAGAGAGAGAGAGGGGGGGGTCTGGTTTAAGTGGGGGGTATTGAAGGGTATTTTAGGGTTTTTATCATGTTTGGGTATGAATACCAGTGTTGTATATACAGTATTTTAGAAATTGGGTTTAAAGGCAAAAACAAAAAGAAACTTGGGTTTAAGAATACAAAGAATAGTTATTGGGCTTAGAGGTAAAGATGAGTAAACAAATGGGCCTAGAAATAAAAAACCCTTGATTTTATTTATTTGGTCAAGGTACTTGATACATATCCAACCCATTTAATAATAAGATTGTCGATATTCAAGAAACTAGATCTCCTGGACAAGAAATGCTTGATGTCATATTAGACTACACCTATTTTTTTATTAAAGAAACAAAATGGAGGAGTTCGAGCTTAATTAGTGATGATAATATCCGAAAAGAGAACAAAAACATAGATAAAATATCGTAAACATTTAAATGCAGGCGGTCCTCCTCCTCCTCCTCCTCCTTTCCATCCTTCCCCTTTCCCAGCCCTAACATCGACATTTCCTTGGCACCCTTGTTGTAAGTAGTGCCGACAATAAGGGAGGTGAAGCACGTTGACGGAGAATGAATTTGTTAGGAAAAGGGAGGAGGAGGAGGAGGCTTTGAAGAGAAGCTACTGGATCAGGTTTGGATTTAGGTTTGGGTTTGGGTTTGAAGCATGGAGCAGTAGGGGGAGAATGCTTTGAATTTGTGTATGGATTTGATTGAGGATTTAGGCATGGATTTGATTGAAGTGTTTGGGAAGGAGCTTGTGAAGAAGTAAATTTAGCATTCAGGTTAATTCATTTCAATGATTCGCAAGTTAGTA